TAAAATTTTGGATAATACAATTCTCTTTCCTCAGCGAGGAATGAAAATTTTGTTCTGAATTTTGAACCTCTCACTACGAAAAAAAAGCTTTTCTATCGTGGATGGAGCATTTTTTTGCAAATGAGTATGGACCGGAAGAGAATCGAACCGTTCGTCTTCGCCTCCAGGCGCGACGTGTTAAACCACTACACTAGCGACCTCAGTGTTATATGTGTCTACGTTCAAGGCAGCATACACCTTTCTTTCTTTTGCCTTTCTCAAAGGCAGGCATACTTTTTCGTAGCGGCTTCTTTGTTGGCTTTTCGTAAGTTATCCACGGTACCTTATATGATTCTTTAATCCTTTTCTATGGTATCGTGCCTGGGAGTTACAGCTTTCTCGTGAGAAATATTTTTATGAAACCATCGACAACCTTGCCAGTTGTTGCTGATACATTTTACCTCTCTCGCGTTAGTTCTGAATGCGTATGGTGAAGTTATAAACATAGTCTTGAATTTCGTCTACAAGATGATAAGTTCATTTTTTTTCAGACATTTACTCACTTCGGCTACAATAGCGATTTCTCCCTATCCTCATGTACGGTTGGCCAGGACGAGGTTTGTTTGGCAGATTTCCTTTCTTTTATTTTTTCTTGCTAGGTCTAATTAGCACTTAATCCGATATTTCAACAGTAATCCAAATCCTTTTTTAACTTACTGAGGTTCTGGTTCTAAATACTTTTACGCATTTCTCGCTGGAAAAGAAAAAAGATGATTAAGAATATAAGAAGGATTTGCAGGTGACTTTTGAAAGCCGATTTATCTTGAACGGTGTCTGTGTAATTCTTCGTGGTACCTTAAGTCGAGAAACAATGAGTGGTACCAGTACACTGCAGTTCGACGAGGAAAATGCTGCAGAGGAGGAACACCGAAGGCAACAAGCAATGCAACGGTACGGTGCTCGGATTCAGGCAATCAGACGGAGGTTCAATTTGCCGCAGACTTGATATCGGTCATGTGTGCAATCGCTGAAAATTAATGCAGATCTCGGGTTGCCTTTGTTAGCTTTATTTACGATCTTGCCATGATTTCTGTAATTACCGTGTCTTAAAAATCAGGTTTACTGTCCTAATTAATGTTCATTATTGCCCAGGAAAAAATATTTGCCTCAATATGTTGTAATTTGGTCGAGATTGCCTGCAGGCTGACTACCAGACGATGCAGCACTGACCAAAGCAACTGCGTAAATGGCAGTGGCAATTTCCATTCTTTATTTTTGGTCATCGGCAGCTGATCGAAGATATAAAACGTTTACGGTTTAGGGCGGGGGTTAGAGGCAGTTGATGCCGATGGGATCAAGATTCAAGTTACTAACATTGGATGAAAAGCAAATGGAAAGTTACCAGCTGCGCAGTTGGAGAGCCAAATTAAGAGCTCCAACAGCTGATCCAAGTACTCCAAGTAAATGTATGACAATGCCACTGCATAATCATGAGTAAAACTTTGCGAAAAAATTTGTAGAAATTGTTTCCAGGTCGGAACTTAGGCTTGGATTTTTTTTTGCAAATTTTAATAATTTAGCCTCAAAATTACAAAAATCAGGGGGCTGAAATTTTAGAGGCCTTACCCGAGGCCATTAACAGAGCCAAGAGTCAAAATCTAATGCTCATGCACTTGCCTTTTGATCCCAGAGCCCATTCATGCGATTGTTATCAGCTGGAAAGAAAGGAAGCCGGAGAATTGAAATTTTATTGTTTTATTTGTCTTCTAATGTAATGCAGAAGGCCTGA